TTGAAGCTGATATATGTCAGTCACGTAGTGTGCATTTAATCATTAACATGCATGAATTGTTAGTTACCAGTTTATTAAGCTTATATATCTTTATTTTTGTCACCAATGGTTTATTTGAGTGTCATGTACCTAGCCCATCTTTCCCATATGCCCCATGGTTGTGCAGTTTCCCCTGGTATATTTTTAGGGATTAGAAAATCTTTGTAGCAAACGGGCTACCTATGTAAATGTCAGCTGCTACTATTGGATTATCATTACTGAATCTCTGGCAACAAAGCTTTTTTTCAAAGCTTTTCCTCTATTAGGAATTCATTTTTATCCTCATGCTTTCCATGGGTGTTGTATTTCTGATAGCACAGAAGAGAAAACTCACTTCCCAGAATACTGAATAACTTGCTCGAGATTACAAAGCAAGTGCCTGACAAGGCCTTAAAACCTGCCTCTTGACTTCAAATCCACACCAAAACTGTCAAGCAAAGCACACAGGTGCAGCCATTTGTGAGTCAGAGGAAGATATGAGGAAAGACATTTAGTCACAAGAGTATCCCTGAACTGAGAATCCGAGAGGAGCTCAGGGAAAGGGGGAAATTATAGGAAGGAGAGAAGTCGCTGGGTAGCAAGAGTCTCATCTTGAGACTACAGAGGCTAAACAAACAGCAAGAAAGGGTGAATGACTGACAGGTGAACAATAAGGAGTGGCAGGGACCATGGTGTACTCAGGTCCCACCAAAAGGAGTTTCTGCCTGCTCTCACCCACCCATGACCGAGTACATTCAATATGATATTTTCCAAACAAAAACTACTTTTTTTAAGTTATGGTGACTTTGACTCTGTGAGTGTGCATGCATGTTGTACATGTATGTGGTGCACACATGAGTGTGCAGGTTTGCATTCTTGTACACACAAAGTCCAGAGCAAGACATTATTTGTCTTCCCACCTCACTCTTGGCCTTATAGCCCTGAGACAGGGTCTCCCACTGAGCAGGAAGCTTACCATTTTCCCTTGACTGACAAATGAGTCCTTGGTATCTGCCAGTTTCTGCCTCCCCCCCCCATGCAGAGTCCCAGCCATGTGCAGTTATGCACACCTTTTTGTGGGTGCTGGAGATTCAAACTCAGATTATTGTGTTTACAGAGTGAGCAGTCTTATCCAACAAACTAATTCCCAGCATCAGGCTTGCTTGTTCATTTGTTGCTAACATGATGGCACATTTAAAATTTTTCAAGCAGGCGCAAGACTCAATACCCTACCTCCAGTGAAAGGCCCTGCTGAAGTCTGGTACCCCACTCAAAGAAACATGAACTCTGATGGACACAAAATATGTTATCATTTATTGTCAATTTCTGCAAAGACACATTTAAGCAACAAAATATACATTTGTCAACCTTTTAGAATTTGTTTTATACATTAACAAATACAATGTGCTACCATAGCAATAAATTAAATGTACACTATTTACAGTACGTAGGCAGTCGGGATCTACAAATCACCTCCTCGCTGAGAGGAAGCAAAGAAAAGTCATCGTCACAGGGTTCACTTCCAAACTATATCTCATAGGTTCTACCACACAGGCATCTCTTCACATGGAGACATCGGCACCCTGGGAGCTGGAGGTCAAGGACATCACAAGGGGGAAGAGCTGGCATACACACCAAGGATGGAGAAGGGGATTTCACCCTTCCAAGTAGAAATGTCACAAAACCAAAGACAATGGCAGCTAATTCCAGTCTTCCAGCCAAGCACACCCTCCCCAGGGATGGTAAGGCCCAGGCCAAAGCCACTTCCCCAGCCACAGCTCGCTAGGCAGACCACCCTTGGCTCTAGGGTTCTCTTTCTCCCAAGGGAGTACACAGCCCAGCTGAAGAGACATGGGGTTGGTGTGGGCAGGGAGCTGGTGGTGAAACAGTCACCAGAGCTTGGTAGGGTGCCTCGAAGGCCCTCTACCATGTGGTGGGAACAGCCTTGTGTACTGTACCAATCTGTCCGCGCCTTTGACTGGGAGTAACTAGAAGCTGGGGAAGGAGCTTGGGGTGCAGAGCATGGCTGACTAACAGGGTCACTGCTGTCCTAGAAGCTAATAAGCTCTATCTGAACCCCAGGCACTTCCCCACAACACAGCTGTCTTTGCAGAGTACGAAACAATGGACAAAAGGTAATGTTTGAGTTGGCACCTTAAAGGGTCAAAGGAAGGAAAATGAAACCGCCTGTGTCCTGCCTAGTCACCTGAACTGGAGACACCTGGGGTACAGCTGGGGGAGGGGGGCAGGGCCTTGGGTTCATTCCCAGCACCAACAAAAAGAGAGAGAGAGAAAGATGGAGAGAATGGGGAAAAGAAGATAGATCAGAGAATTAGTTCCTTCCATCCCCTTCTGTCCTGATTTAACAATGAAGCCAACAGTATCTAATGCATCTGAGTCCAGGTCACTTTGCCCCTGTCACTGAAAACCTAAAGAAGCATTTCGCTGGAATCCCTCCCCATCTGCTTCCTTCACTCAAGTCCCAGGCTCCTCCTCACTGATAAGATTTTTCATGAGGAAAACCAGGCACAGCTGAGGCCTATCAACATCCCCCTCCAACCCAGCACCTCCCTGCCAGCATAGAAACCTCAGCTAAGAGGCTTCCCCAAACCCAGGCCCAGGAAATGCAACTGTTTACTCCACCAACAGTAAGCACAGTTTGTACACAGGAAGTGCCCGAGGCTGCGGGTATAGTAACAGCTTTGCCCACTAGGTGGCTGTGTGGCTTCAGCCAAGTTCATGGGGAAGGATGACAGGGTTGGATGAGATACAAACCGTCCAGAAGGTTTGAGTATCAAAGGGTGACCACAAAACTGAACCACAGGTTATTTTCCAAGAAACGCCATTTGACATTTAAAGCCACACACAGAAACTCTGGCTAAGATCTTCTATCTGGAGCTCTCCCACCATCTGGGTGTCTATTAACACCTACAAAATATAGTTTCTTCAGTGAGTCAGGAAATCCCCAGAGCCAGAGTTGTGACCAGGAGAACCCCTGGTTTGGGCAATGGTGGAACCCCAAATACAAGCAGAAGATTCATCTATACAGGCCCAGTCACATGAAGGAGCTTCAGCAAGACTCTAAACCCTAGGACTGGGAACAGCCACAGAAGGAAAGAGTGGATCAGAGACTGGGAGGAGCAGCCTCCCATCCAGAGAGTGTAGAGGAGGCCCGGCCCTGCCATTACTCTCCTGCTCAGCAGAGAACTCCAGCTGGGCTGGTGGCACATGCACTGGAAGCCACAGGATGGACCTGCTAGATAGAGAGAGGCATGACCAGAGGCACCTCAGATCCTGCCCAGAGTATCTCAACAGCAAACCAAAGGTGAAGACCACAGCCCGGTGGCTCTCAGTTCCTCTGTACACAGTCATCCATCCTGTCCACTGGCCCAGAAGCAGAGGCGACACCTGGCCTAGAGGTAATGCCTGCAGGGAAATAGCCAGATCAATGGGGACAAGACTTAGATTTCCAACTATGACAGTGCAGGATAAGCTAGGAGCTCCTGAGGACCCAGACCATAATGCAACAACACAGCACAACCACCGAGCAAAAGTAAAACCATCCTACCCAGAGAAGGGAACCAGACTCCTGTAATTGTTTCAAAGAAAACACAGTTTGACCTTTCAAGTTCAAGCAGAAACCTGCCAGCAGAACACAGCCAGGATCCACCCGCCTCCTTCCAGCAGCGGGTGCTGCTAGGTTGGCTTTTAATAAAAGCTAAATAGATATTCCGCTGACCTTCTAACTAGAACAAACCTTACCAGACTAGTATTTCACATAAGCAGGTTTCCCAAGTGGAGTGAAGGCTGCAAATAAGTGTGTGGGGAATGAAGGACTAAAACTGCTCAGATGGGGACAGTTACAATACCAACCCCAAAGCTGTGTCGTCCTTCTGTGCTTCGGCTTGGGAATAGAAGCCCGAGCAGACAAAGCGTGTGGTGGGAAACCTTGTCATCTGCTCATTGAAGCAGGAGCCCAGAACTGGAGCAGCCCTGTGCCAGGGACCTATGTGTACTTAATGGGGCAGCATCTTCAAGTGCCTGTTGTTTAGACCTGGCGTTTAGCCTGGCAGATACTCCATCCCATACCCAGAGCTGAACCGCTCTGCCAACCCAGGAGGCTGAGGAGCCAAAGGGAGCTCTTCAGGATGAGCAGGCTCACCCAGAGAAGGTGGCCATGGCTAGGAGTGAAGGTGGCCATGGCTACGAGTGCAGGCGGCCTGTGGTGTATAAAGCACGGGCTCATGCGGCCTGGCTTCCAGGAGCCCAGCAGATGGGACAACTGCTCTGGAGACCTGCAAATGGAGATGGGAAGAACAGGACTGGGGACTGAGCCTAGAAGAAGCCCGCAGAGGTGGAGAGACATCATACTGTTCCCAATGCTAAGTTCAACTGGCACACACAGGCCTGACCACAACTCGTCAAGTCACCCCCAATACATCTCCCCTCTGTCCCATCTAAGAGATGGGTTGAACCATGTCTTTTCTGAATTCTCACAGAAGTGCAGATCTGGGTCCCAGATGAGCCTGCCCATGCAGAAGCTTTCCTCAGCCAACAAACATCCCTGTGCTGGCCGTGTGCTCGCCCTAGACCCCTCACACTCCCGGATGCCCGCTCAGTCATAGGCAAAGCATCCACTCAAGGAGAAAAGCTACCAGTGCTTCTCCAACTGTGAGAATGATCAGCAGCTTGTGTAAAACTAGAAAGGAAAAACCTTGAGATCACGGTCAAGGAAGAAGCCAGGCCCTGCACACACCCAACTCTGACTCTGAGCATCCAAAAGCCTGATCCCTCCCTAACTTTGGGGACCCTAGCAGCAGGGAGAGAGATCCCTAGGCCTGGGCCAACAGATGTGTCAGAAGTGCTTATCACAGGAGCAGTGAGATACAACCTGGAGGATGCTGGGAAATTCCTGGAAAAGCATTCCCTTCCACCATGTCCAGGAGGGCACTGACCAAGACAGACAGCCCCCACCCCCATTCCTCTGTCACCTCTGCTCCCCACCACACAACCCCCTCTGTCTCTGGAGCAGATGAGCTCCCCAGCTTCTCACTGAGCGCCCTGGGACCCAGAATCCCCCTTGCCCAACTCTTTTCCAGCAGGCAAAACAAGGTGACAGTTGACTTAGACAGCCGGTCACATCAGGAGGTCGGGAGTAGAGGTTGGGGCTTTCAGGTCTGTGGAGAAGGAGCCAGCAAGGCCACGGCCAGGTCATGGAACAGACAGACAGCTGGTCTGCTGGGCAGCTGGCCAGTGAGACAGCAGGCCTGAATGGTCAGAGTAGTGGATGGCACCCCCAAACCGCTGGAATAGGAGCCTTCTGCAGGCCAGAATCAAGACTTCCCTGAGGAGATACAAAAGGGGAGACGGAGAACAAACACTGGTAAAAGAAGGGAGAAAACGGACTGGAACCCACTTGCCCGTGGCTACACTCAGGACAAGGAGGGTGCCAAATGGAAGGGGGATTTAGCCCCAGAAGCTGTGTGTAAGCATTGTGCTACGGAAGCACCCAAAGTCTATCACAGATGGTGGAGGCCAACATCACGCTCCCATTTTTTGTTTTCTCATGAACAGGTTTAACACAAAGTGGGCTCAACTGTACCCTTCTCCTTGGTCCCAACTCACTCATACTTCTGAGACCCCTCACAGAGTAGGTAGGGGTTACAGTGGGTCAAAGGTGACTTCACTATCAGGAGTTCACTAATGTACACCAGGAGCAGAGACCACCCTAGGAGTGTCCCTCACAGCAATGGCTGGGTAGGGGCATCTCATGTCATATGGGGGAAATATATTCCAGCCTGAAGCCTTGGCCAAAAATACAAGGAGAGGCAGACTGCCTGCAAACAGGAAAGCAAGGGGTAAACTGGGTAATTTCTCCCTCCAGGGAAGGAAGTGAATGTTCAGCTACTTCCTCTTCTAGCTACTAGAACCAGCTCCATCCAGTCTCAGTGCCACTGGACAACCCTTCATAGGCACCCTTCCTAGGCACTATCCACAGCCCCTCCTTCCCCTAGAAGGCCTAGAGATGTCTATCAACGGTAGTCCTTGGCATCCCTCAGCTGACAGTCCCTCTGGCCATTCTGAGGCCATAAAGTCACAGACACTCTGACCACTGTAAGACACTCACCTTGCACAGGGGAAGGACTTCACTTTCACATTAGTGACCCTGTTTAAGGAACACACAAGAATATTTCAAAAGACAGACAACAATCGCCTCCACCTGCAGCCTCTACCACTCAGCTCCCAGCAATAGGACTTGGGCTCCCAGGGGCTGTGTGCAAGGATGTGGCTCCTATTGCAGGAGGAGTGACACAGGGGGCTGGTGAGCCCTGGTGTCTGCCCATAAAAGCAGAACATCCTTTTCCCCCCTTGTGAGCACTCTCTGAAGTGCTCTCTCCAAACCACTGGGAAAAAGGACTGGCTACGGAGGTCCTGGAATGTGGGGTGTAGGGCTCAGGGGGCCCTTTCCTTGGCTGCCCAAACCATCCTTACCGCACTGGAGCTAGCATGGCTGAGTTTATCAAAGCGAAATTTCAGGTTTGACCTCGGAGAGTTTCTGCTTTTGGCATCTAAGAAAAGAGAAAAGACATGGAGACTAATTAATAAATTAGTCAGCAAAATCAGAATAGTGAGTAAGAGGGCCGGGGAAGAGTGGACCTCAACCTCCCCCAAAACATGCTCACTAGCAGGTACCCCCATTTGTGATTATCAGTACTCAGACTCTGAGAAATGGTATGCCCTAGTCATTAAACAGGGGTCACATTAAAATTACATATCTTCAAAATTAAACTATGGAAGCTCATAATGAAACAGACCACATTCAAGGAAGATAATAGATATTCAAAAGTTGTCATTTCCTCATTATATTGCCAGGTTTTGCTGTAGTCTGTGCTCTTACATCCTCTGTGTTCTTATACCAGAAATTCACTAAGGCAGTAGGCTATTCATCTCTCCTCAACCCCAAGCTCAAGGGATGTCTCAGTGGGAGCTTGGGATCAATCTTGATGAGAGTATTAAGACCACTGAAGTTAGCAACGTTGCAAGCCAGGGTTTGGCTTACAGTTTTTCTGACTAGATTTAAGAAACCAATAAAAATTATAATCTATGAACTAGCCTGGGAAGGTGCTGTGCCTGCAACCACTTCATTGTAAAGAGCAGCAGAGGAGACACCGTGCTCCCAGTGTTTGAGAGCTACTACCAAATTCACCAAAAACGCTTTTTGTACCGCTGATGACATCAGTGCTGTCTTCCTGATGTAAAACGTCAACGTGAGCAATGAAACCCACATGGGAACCAGATTTGACTATCATCTGCCACCCTAAACTGGCTATAGGTACCATAGTTAGGTAAGTACCAGTTAGACTGTCCTTTGAGGATTGTATAGACACATAAGACTCACAGTAAAGAATATTGTATAGTTTGCCATTATTTGCAAACTATGTTTCAGATCCATCATACTGATAAAGTTTACTGTGCCCGTGTATAACATGTACATTTGCACACACACACACACACACACACACACACACACACACGAGGACATGCACATACATTACACATGCATGCTGTAAGACCCTCCCTGAGTGGTCCTGATGATTTCCTTTTTGTCCCCAGAAGCTTGAGTCTGAATGACCAGTGAGTCTGCAATTACAGAAAACTGTCAGGCCTTCTCTCCTCTCAGCCTGCCTTTTCCTCAGTCACTGTAGCAGCCAGAAACAGCCCACAAGTGCATGGGGTTAGAGATCCAAAGCAGATGTCAGTGTAATGCAGCCTAGGGTGTTCCTCCTGGGTATGTAGTTGCCATTGGGGAGGATTCCACACCAACTCTACATTTCCTCCTGCCCTGAATGACCTTATAGACACTCCTGAAGCCTCCCTCCACTCAAACCCTGTCCAAGAGAACAGGCTGGAATCCATTCCTTTTGATATTTATTTAGTGCCAAAAAGGACATAGTTTGGTTTGTTTTTTGTTGTTGTTGTTGTTGTTGTTTTTGTTTTCTTAATTTATTTATTTATTTTGTTTTTCAAGACAGGCTTTCTCTGTAGACCAGGCTGGCCTAGAACTCACAGAGATCCACCTGCCTCTGCCTCTGGAGTGCTGGGACTAAAGGCATGTGCCACCACCGCCTGTCAAGGACACAATTTGGTGACAGATTTTCTTGTTCACTCCATCAATATTTATCAGTCCAAAATTTTGTCAGTGCCAAAGCTGGGACTGGAATCCATCTCAAGATCTGCATGACCACAAGGATTTGAATCAAAGGAAGCTGTGGACTACTCCACTAACTGGGAAGCCTGCCACAAACGGTCATCTGCTTTTACCCTGGCGTCTCCCTGGATCTCACTACACCCTGCTTTTGACATTGTTTGCTCTCTACCCAGTGATACCAGTAGAATAACACCCTACCCAAGCCATTCTGAAAACCAAAAATAACTGCAGATAATGCCAAAGTCCTGTGGGAGCGAGAACACACCTCCTGAGAACTGGCTGGTCACACTAATACTTTATTGCTGTCCCACGATACACATTTAGGTTAATAGCTGTATGTTTCTTATGGTGTCTGCTCAGCAAATCTTTACGGGGAGCTGAAGAAGTCCTGAGTGGGTTTGCAAAGAGCAGATGAAGGCCTGAGTGTGTACAGAGCAGATGAGGTCCTGAGTGGGTGTGTAAAGAGCAGATGAAGTCCTGAGTGGGTGTGCAAAGAGCAGATAAAGTCCTGAGTGGGTGTGTAAAGAGCAGAGGAAGTCCTAAATGAGTGTGTAAAGAGCAGATGAAGTCCTGAGTGAGTGTGTAAAGAGTAGATGAAGTCCTGAGTGAGTGTGTAAAGAGCAGATGAGGTCCTGAGTGAGTGCAAGTGTTTACATAGACAGCCATGTCAAGGACCAATGCCTCAGGCCCGTGGAAATGCCAAAGCCTCCCCAAGCACTGTGAGGCTCAGAGAGATGGCAAAGCCCTTCTCTGGTCAGAGTGTGGATGTTGACTGTGTGTGCAATATGAGTGTTTACAAATGACTGATTAGTGTGTGCAAAACCTACCAACTGCCCTTCCTTTTCCTGGATGTTTTCAGCCTGAGACCGCTCACTACAAATACCTTCTACTGAGACTAACTGACCCCCTCCCCACAGTGCCACCTGGGTGAAAATCACGTCACACTGGGTTCTTGGTGGACCCTGAGAGCTGACCCCTTTCCTTTTCCTCCAGCCTGGTACTCCCTACTCTGCTCAACTGCAGGGATCTCAGAACCCTGAAAGACCCAGGCCACCACTCTCCCTAAGCCCTCACTATTAGTAATTTCTACATCCCAATGCCCTGCCACGACCCTGGCTCCCCTAGATGCCCGCGGTGCCTCTTCCCCAGCCCCCACCAATCCTTTCAGTAGTCAGCATGCAGCTGCCAAATGGTCCTTCTCAATGCCAGGTGGCACCTCCAGAACCTTCAGTGGATTTTACCAACAACACCTGTGTCCTCACCAGGCCTTCTGGCAGCCCCGTCCTCTTTCTGGCCTCCCCATGCACCCCCCTCCCTGCACTGAACCTCATGCACTCCCAGAAGAGTCTTGCATTCCTCCAGCCTCCTCCACTGCTGTTCCCCTTAGTGCCAGGCGCTCAGCATCCCTGCTGTGGCCCTGGCCCTGGGTGGGGCAAGAGGTGAGCAGAGAATGTCCAGCTTTCCGTCACTCTCCTAACTCCTCCACCATGGACTCATCGTGAAATCATTCACTTCTCTGGGCCTCAGTTTCCCCGTATATAAGAAGATCAGAATATGACCTTTGTATGGTTGGACAGATGGACTAAGTTAGTAAAGGTGAAGGCCCTAACGTCTTGGGAAAGGAGCAGTTGGCCAGTTCAGCATGCCTGGGGTGCATGCCCTATGACCAGCAGTCAGGGCACAGTTCTGCCCTTCCGACGATAGCACACACATCTTCACATGCCACTGACCTGTGGGGCTCCGGCTCATGATGATGGGGGTGGCAGCAGCTCCCACACAGGGGCCCTCGCTGCTCGGGGACGGGCTGTAGACAAACACCTCCTGCTTGAAGGGTGAGGTTGTGGATGGCTGGCTGCTCTGCGGAGAGAAACTGGGTGAGCAAGGCCGCGTACCCCCAGCAGTCCCACAGCTGTCCTGGGATGAACCATGCAAGTCACTGCCTCCAACCCCATGTTCCCTTCCCCGTTGGTGCTCCCCTGGCAGGGACAACCGCCCGGTGCTGCAATGAGGCACACTTACCCCACTGTCACACTCCTCCATGGCCTCGCCCTCCCCTGCAGTGCTGCTGAAGCTGCTGGTGCTGGAGGAGGACCGGGAGATGTTGGCGCGGCCATTCTCCTTCAACTTTATGAAGGGCCTGTGGGGAACAGTAAGCAAGGCAAACGGAGAGTAAGGCAAATCCACCAGAGGACTGAGCTTGCCCACACTGGTTCCCCCAGCCTCTGCCTGGTGGTCCTTGTGTTCCAGAGACTTCCAAAGGCAAGAACTGTCACTCAGCTTGCCTGGAGGCACAGCATATAAGCCAGGACTCCAAATGGCTACAGCCAGCCTTTCCCAAACCCCAACTCTCTTACTTCTCTTTGTTGGGACAGATTTCTGGAGAGCTGGGATTTGACGAGGTCTCAGACTTTATCTCCTGAGAAGAGTGTCCGCCATCCGGGGTTTTGGGAGTGCTGGAGGCACTGTCACTAGGGGGAAAGAGAATAAAGAGATGTCCTTGTCCACTGCCATCCTAGACAGAGCTCAGGCTGTGGGGGCCAGCACAGAGTGTAGCCACCTTGTCCCTCCCCACCTGAGCCCCTGAGACTACAGCACACAGCCGAGGTTTCTGCTCTGTACAGTAAAAGCCAATCTGGATTCACAGTGATGGTACAAAGTCACGGGGGGTGGGGGGGGAGAGGTCTTGATGGCCTCCAGCCAAAGTCCACCCCTCTCCCATGCTGGCCATTCCACCTGGCAAAGCTATAGATCAATAGAAGGTCACACAGGGAATTGAACCCAGTACCCATGGATTCCTGAGAGATGCTGGGGGGGAGGGGTCACCTACTGTAATGACCCTTGAGGACATCCTACATGTCACAGGGCAGCCCTGGATGTTGGGGAGAGAAGGGACACTCTAAGCCCAAGGATCCAAAAGCTTCCTTCTCCTGCAGTTCAGCAAAGACCACAATTTGCCTATAGCAAACTGGGATTAGGATGGTTCTGTGCTCAGCTCACTTGTTTTTGTTTTGTTTTGTTTACTTCGATCCAGGACCAATGATTTCTGCTTTGCTTTGTTTTTTAAGAGTCATTTATTTGCATATTTATTGTTTATGTGTATTTGCATGATGTATGTATGTGTACCACATGCATGTCTGGTGTACTCGTGGGTCTGTAGAGAACATTGGATCCCTAGGAACTGGAGTTAGAAATGGTTGTGAGCCTCCATGTGGATGCTGGGAACAGAACCCGGGTCCTCTACAAGAACAGCCTGTGCTCTTAACCTGTGTTCTTAAGCACTGAGCCATCGCTCCAGCCCTGCACTGTACTTTTATAGTAGCAGCGTTAATGAAGCATAATACACATGCCATGCAACTCATCTATTCAAAGTGGACAATGAAACAATTTTTAATATGTTCGTGGAATTATGCAGCCATCACCACAATCTAATTTTAGAACATGTTAAGGCCCCTTAAAAGAATGCCTGGCTCATCTGCAATCACTGCCCCACCCCCACCCCTAACTCTTTCTTTCTGTCTCTATGGACTTTGCCTAGTCTGGATATTCCATAGAAAAAGGACTTGACAACATACATGGTCTTCATGTCACTTCTACCAGCTTAACATTTTCAAAGTTTGCCCGTGTTATACCCTGAATCGGTATCTTATTAGTTGTTGTTTATTACAAAATAATATTACATTTTGTGGGTGTACTGATTTCATTTTACTTATCTAGCAGCCAGATACCAGGCCCTTCAGTTGCATCCACTTTGAGGCAACCTATGGAAGGTATGTGCTGGTGTTGTTATGGACAACGTTTTTTTATTTTCATGGTTTCTCTCTATATATACACCTAAGGGTAGGATCAGCAGGTCCTATTGTAACTCTATGTTTAGCCCTTTGAGGACTTCCAGGCTGTTTTCCAAAGTAGATGCAAGCAAGATGTAAATGTGCCAATATCCCCACATCCTCTCCAGCACTTGTTATTTACCTGTAAGACCACAGGCACCCTGGAGGTGTTAATGGACTACATAAACTCTGCGTGTGTGTGTGTGTGTGTGTGTGTGTGTGTGTGTGTGTGTGTGTGTGTTTGTGTCTGTATCTGTGTGTGAGTGTGTGTGTTTGTGTCTGTTATCTGTGTGTCCACATCTCTCTCTCTGTGTCTGTGTGTGTGTATCTGTATCTGTGTGTGTGTGAGTGTGTGTGTGTCTGTGTTTGTGTCTATATCTGTGTGTCCACATCTCTCTGTGTGTGTTTGTGTGTGTGTGTGTGTGTTTGTGTAGCAAATGCATGCGTGCACGTATATGCAGGTGCTTTGACTGCCTGTGTCTGTGGAGGTAAGAAGTCACATGGGGTGTGTCCCTCCATAGCTTCCACCTCATCTTCTGAGACAGTCACTCATTGAAACTCACCAAGTGACCAGAGAGCCCCAGGGATCCTCCTGTCACCACACCCAGCTTTCTATACAGATGCTGGGGGTCCAAACCCAAGCTCTCATACATGCCCAGCAACACTCATCCACTTTCCCGTCCCTCCATGCACTTTTGGTGATTTCTTAACTATTAAATCACAGGGCTGGGTCACCACAATGAAATTCCCTCTGTGACAGACACAAGAGGACTTTCTCCTCTCCTGTCTTTGGAGACCCTACACACACCCTCTCTTCCTTCCCAGCTGTCTTTGCCAATTCTTGATCTTCTACTTGTCTGTGAGCACCGGGGCTCTACACACCTCTCTGAGCAGTTATATGAATCTGTTCAATTCCTTTGCATCAGCAACTCTACCCATCACTGCCCAACTCTCCAGTCAGGACCTCTCTCCTAAACACGACTGACAGGATGTATAGGTAGGGAGGCCACAGTTCAAGGAAGCCTGACATTGGGAAAACACGTCCCCATGCTTGGGTACCTGACAGCTAAAGGAGAAGGGAGCTGACAGGCCCCATAGCTGGGATGGAGTCAAGACCCTGGCAGTTACCATCGTGTTCGGCTGTCCCCTTGGCCTTCAGAGCCCGAGTGCAGGCGGGGGAAGAGTCCCGACCGCCGCTTGATGGGGCTCCGCGACTGGTTCTTCACGGTTGCTGCTGCGGCCACTGGAGGCTGCCGATAAAACCCGCCACAGTGAGTGCACGTGCCCACCCCACCCCCACCCCTTTCCTAGTCTACACATGACTCCTGGTCTGGTGAGACACCAGAAAACAACAAGAAGATGAGACCCCAACACTTGAGCCACTCACAGCCTCTTTCCTGTTCATAAGCGAGGCCTGAGGCAACAGGGCCTTGAGCTCATGGAGGATCACAGGGTCACCATAGTGGGTCAGATGCAGAGCTGGCTGGGACCATTTAGGGAACCACAGATTGAAAGACCTAGAGAGCCCTTGGAGTGGCCAGCTGCGACCTTTCACCTTGCTATTGAGAAAGCCAAGAACCAGAAAACAGAGGGATGTGTCAGGGCCAGCTGGCAATAAGGATCCAGGTCTCCACCACTGCTTGTGAATAAATGGACCCAGGCAGGAGTTTCAATAACAGACCAAATAAAAGGCACCACACGGAGTCCACCTGCATGCATAGCAGTGGGCCGCTGGCCAAGGTCTCTGCTTAACAAGTCCCCAGCCTTGTGGTGGGAAGAGGACACAATGGTGTCTAGCCCCGGGCCCAGTGCCACTCATGTGCTGTGTCACTTTGAGAGAATGGTCAAGATCTCAGGGCCTCAGTTTCCTAACCCACAGGAAATCAACCTGCTCTGTTGATATCATGACCTTCTTCTGAGAGAAACAAGATAGTATATGTGAAAATATTAAATAATCAAGCCATTGCTCAAGGCCATTTGTAATAAAAGTCAACATCTCTGTGAGTCTGTTCTGCTATTTAAAAAAAAAATTCAAAGAAAATTCCAGTCCATACAAGTCAAAAGCCACTTGTCTTCTTAATGGCTGGCTACATGGTTCCCTCACCTGCCCTTGGTGTGAGTCAAGAGGCCTAAGCTCGCAGCCCCACAGGGCTGTCTCTCTCTGAGAGCTGAACACATAGTGTGAAGAGGCTAAATTTTGTATCAGGAAGTCCTTCACTCAAAGCCCAGAACTTCATCCTAGCTGGGTGACTTTTAGTAAGTTACCTAACCACTCTGAGCCCCCTTTTCTGGAAGTGTGGAATGGAGAGTGCCCCAGTGTCTACTCAGACAACCGTGACAGGGATCAGGTAAGGTCTTGTGTGTTGATCACCAGTTTTCAGTGCCTGGTGCAGAAGCAAGCTGGGGTGTCCACTGCTGTCATCAACAGGGAACAGGGTCTCCCTCATGAGCCCCCAAGCTCAGTTCGTAAACAAACCGACCCCAGCGGCAGGCTGGCGTGGAAGTGCCACAGGACCGTTGTCACAGAGCAGGGCTTGGGTTAGCTCCTCAGCAGCTTCAGTGTCCCCAGCCCATCGTCCAGCTTGCCCTGCTAAAGTTGCCTAGCCCAAACCTGGGATGGGACACAGCCTTCCTCCCTCCACATGCTGGCCCAGGATCCCAAGTACTCACAGAGAAGGTGGTCTTGGTGACCTCCATGCTGTTGTGGACAATGCCCCCACTGAGGCTGCCAGGAATGTTCCCACCATGCAGCTTCTTCTGGCTACCCACCATGGTCTCCATGGAATGGCTTCGCACACGGATGGCTCTCTGCGAGGGGTGGGGACAAAGGTCTGAGAGTCAGTACCTGGCCTCTCTGGATGACTCTGTCCTAGGCTCACACATACATATGCATGTGCACACTAGCATGAGCATGTAAACAGACACAAGGCCCACACCTCGGTCATTGGTGTTTGCAGAGTTCTCTAAATTCTGTCCAGGCAGGGTCGGAGGGCTCAGTGGTGCAAAGTGGGCCACCCTGGTATCCTCCTTTTATGGGAAGGGGAAGCAAGGTCTGAAGCTCAGCAAACCTCAGTGACACTGTCTCGTTAGCAACTCCACATCTCATCTCTGGGTTATGGCTTCCTTGTCTGTAAACTGGCTGTCACATGTGCCATACAGGATGGGGACTGAACACAAGTGCCAGACTGAACACCGACTCCTTTTATTTTGACTTCTGCTGGAGAGATGGCTCAGCAGTTAAGAGCACTGGCTGTTCTTCCAAAGGTCCTGAGTTCAATACCCAGCAACCACGTGATGGCTCACAACCATCTTATAACAGGATCTGATGCTCTCTGTTGGCAAGCATAGCATTTGTATATAAATATAAATAGATTATTTTGACTTTTAATTTTTGGTGTGGCATTGAGGAATGACCTAGGATCTCCCTCACGCTGGGCAAGAGCTCTACCACTGAAAGACATCATAGACCATACATCAGTTCTATGTTCACAAAGCTAAGCCTCCTCTCCTGAGTTGCCCTTCCCGTTATTACCATGGGTGTGCCTTGTGTATCTACAACTGCTCTTCGTGTAGAACCCTGGAACAAGGTCCTGTGCATCCATGCATCACGTGGGCTTGCAGAAGCTAAAGACACACTTTCCAGATGACCACTATGGGTCTATATGGCCCATATAGTGCTCCAAGTGGGGCCAGGGAGGGGCTGCTGGGGTTTTGGAACCTTATGTTCACTTATGGCCAGCAAAGAGCAAAGAGTGGGGAGAAGCAGGGTAGGATGGGTATTGGCAAGCTTTTAAGTGTCCGGCCAACGACAACCAGGACAGTCAGGTTTGTCATGTGCTTGAGAAAATGAGGATAACTAAGCTATAAGAGCATTGATTGAACCCGTGGAGAAGCTGGACCTGGGGTGACAATCCCTCCCTAACTTCTCTAAAGGGCAACACTTCTCTGCACAGGACCAAAGAGGGGTGTTTATGATGCTGCAACTCAGCCCCATCTACGGGGCCAACAAACATGCTGCAGGATCCTGGCTCCCCCAAGAATAACATTCTTTTGCTACAGAAGCATTTAAAGTGAAGGTATATTGTGGAGATTTTCTCTGGTGACCCCCATGCCCTTGCAACATTACCATCTGATCATCTATCTGGTTTCTCAACAAGATGACCAGACAACACAATTTAGTGATCAAGAGCACAAAAGCCTTAGCTGGTGGTGCCAGGAGTAATAGCTGGGTGCTCTACGGTACCACCTGCTAGCTGGGGACCCTGCATCTTGTTTAGCTTCTCTGGGACTTACACAGAATGGGATAAGGTGTATCTACACAAGCAGTAGCAGCAAGAACATGTAAAGCTCTTAAGAGAGAGCCCAGTGCATCACAAATGTAGCTTCTAGTGCTGTTGATACTATGTTTCCTGTGTGCTCAGCACCACACCAAGTTCTACAACTGCAGTGTTGAGGCCAAAGGAGCATGGAGTCCAAAGAGTGCAAGACCCAGTGTCTGTGATGATGGTCTATATGTGTCAATCAGTTGTTCTGAGGCCCAAAGAGCAAAGGCTCCTGGACACCTGCACTATTGGTGGCTCAAGTACAAGTACCAAACTCCAGCTGGCAGAACCAACATCTATTCCAATGTCTCCTCCTCCTCCTTGGGATGCAAAGTATCCAGGCTCAGTGTAAAGAACTCATTTAACTCATCCCTTGCTGGAGGAACATCCCTTGCTGGTGGTTTTGGGGGAAAAGCATCTGAAAGCATGGGAGCCATTTGGGAGGTCAAACCTGACGATAAGGCAGGAGAGCCCAGGACCACACAGGGGAAGGAGGAAAGTACATGTGAGCTTTGACCAGCTGAGCCTGGACTTCCTGCTACAGTCATTAATGGATTTTCCTCACCAGGGTGTGAGCCTGTCACCCTAGCATCAGGAAATAGATAGGAACTAAGTTACAGCCCACTCCTTCCTTTCTGGATTCAGGCGTGCGTACACCCCCATGTGCCCACTAACAGGTCTCTCCAGAGGAAGAGCAAAGCCCCCTTCCTTCCCTTGAGACATCCAGGAAGAGATCCACGTTGACACAAGTACTGTTCTTCAAGACCCCAGTGACACCTTTGAGACCTGGGGGTGACAAAGGGCCTCATTCTGCATGCCATTCCCTCCTGACAAGGGGCAGAGACTCAGAAAGGCTGCTGGTACGTGTAACAGCCCTCCCCCTCCGGACAAGGCACCAACAATGAGGTGTGAGACTACCAGCCTCAAATTGACATCATGTAGCCTCTATTGTCTGAATCAAAGATGCCCCATGAGGGACGGCACCTCTCCCCTCTCTAGACCACAGAAGAGTTGCCTAGCAACAGTGTTCCTGGGACATGGTTGCAAGAGCCAGCATGTTTGATTCATTCTACCACCCGATTGTCATAAAGTCATGTAATCTTTGGAACCTGACATGTCCTTGGATGGGGGGAGAAGGCTCCTTAAATGGCATTAATGTTTCATAAATGCCAGAATCTTTATATGCTTGTTCCCTGTACTGCCGCTACCAGTGTTACCAAGTTGCACACTCTTCATTTGTGTTCTTATCTGGTCCTCATCATCTCTAGGATCCAAGTATGAATAGTAAGCCCTGTGCAGTGTGTCTGGTCTAAGGAACCTTAATACACAATCCTATTGAACCCTTAAAAGGCTGAGGTATAGGCAGAATAGAAAATCTCCCAAGTAATAAAGGACTGTCACACATCAGTAAGATAGAGCTGGGATTCAAATCTAGTATCCCAGGCCCCAAGATTGACAATACAAAGCTGGATACAGCAGTGCCTGCCTGAAATCCATGCAATTCGGAGACTTGAGAGGTTAAGGACAGCCTAGGCTACAAAGTAAGACCCTGTCTCCAAAAGAAAAATAAGGGGGAAGGAAGGGAGGCAGGGGAAATGGAAAAGGAGGAGGGAAAGAGATGGGAAGAGGGAGGGGAAGGAGAGAGTGAGGAGATGAGGATGGAGATAAAGGCCAAGATGGAACGTTCACTCATTAACTAAAGCTGGCTGGAAAGCAGGAGGCTTGGGAATCACACTCATAAAAAAGTCACAGGCTGATGTCAGGGAAAAAGGTGTCTGCAGATGCCCATGTGCTGCGTCAGAGTCAACAAAGTGAATCTGAGAAACCAGTGACCAACAGAATCCCAGAACTGGGCAGATTGTCAGTCACCTGCTCTCCTGCTCGAAGCAACAGAAAGGGTGGAGTCCTGGTTCTCCCATGACCCCTGCCAGGAGGTGTTGTCACAAGGATGAAATGAGACAGTGTGTATCCAACACCTGGGATGACACCTGGGTTAGCTCTGCTGCCCAGATCTTAGTATGAAGGACACAAAGCACTGCTTGCCTTGAATGAAACTGTCCGGTAACATCTAAAGAATTTCACATTACAGTGCAATGAGCAACTCTGCTGGCCCACTCAAACTGGGCAGCCGAGTCAGAATACCAGGGTGGGGTGAGGGGAACAAAAGGAGAAGATACAGAGGGACAGAGGGATGAGAAAGACAGGGAAGGGGGTGTCATGGAAGCCTTTGTGCAGGCTTTAGGGGGCCTTGGGACTAGCTGGACTGGCTTGCACTTGGCTCATCCCTATCTGACAAAGCTCACCTGACGCCTGCTTGTGTCCTCCAGGGACCTGTTACTTATTCTGGCCGTGGATAGCCTTACCCACGGAAAGTTCTTATGTATACACAACTGGTATCTCACCTAAATTTATAAACCTTGCAGTCTTGGGCTGGCCTTTCCTATCGTTTCATATGACTGCCCCTTGCTGTCCTCCAGGTCAATCACTCTGGCTCCACCGATCTCCCTCAGTCCCTAAGGCCTCCCAGCCCTCAGCACACCTCAAGCTGCCTCCCATCAAGCTCTCCTGTGAGGCATGAGGACAAAGAAATGCACCACTTTCTCATTACCCTTGTGTGTCACCTCATCTCAGCCCCAGCAAGCTGAACAAGTCACTTCCCAGACATCAGCACCATCGCCTCCTTACAAAAAAGTGCCTATGAGTTGTTCCAACTTGACAGACTCAACATCGGCCAGTCATAATAGAGCCTTGCAGCATGCTCTCTCTTGAAAGCCTCTCTGGGAATACGTCAGGCACCCTGGAGTGAAACATATACCGACTCCTACTACTCCTAACAGATGCGGGAGATGGGACGAAATGGGCTTGAGCCACCATCCTTGAGATCTGCCACCTGTACTTAGCTGCTGGGCCACCTCATCCACTGAACCCCATGGGCAGAATGTCCACAGCCTACATACAGTGCTACATAAATATATGACACCTGAAAAAATAAAAATAAAAAACAAAAACACTAGCTCTAAAGTATAAAAGGAAACCTGTAAAACTCAAAGTAGCAAATGTTTCATAAAATGTCCACAAAACACAGCATCGTGCAAGCTCATCAAGCTCAGCTGAGCTCTGATGATTCCGCATACATTAATTTCCGGAGGGAGGTGGAACACTTTGGTATTTCCCCCAGAGCCTCAGAGGGCCTCTCTAAGTGGCTGCTCCTCTGTCTCCCCTAGGCCCAACCCTGTTCCCTACTACCCAGCCTCACAAACACCCTCCTCTCGGCGAGGGTGTAACCACCATGGCTCCCTCTTCCTTCTCTGTTCCTTTTCTCCTCTGCCCTTCATTTTCATTTTTCTCAAAATCTAAGAGTCTCTCTATGTAGCCTTCCTTGAACTCATCATGCCCCTGCCTTGGCTTCCCAGGTGCTGGTGATGCAGGCATGCACCTCCACACCCAGCTCCTCTTGCATCTGGATCCCCAACCTACTCCCCTCCCCTTTCAGAGCCACTTCTATCAAGACCAAACCAGAAGCCCCAGGAATCTCCTACTGGCCTGGACAAGCAGCCTGGCTCCTCCCACCCCTGGGAGGAATCTCAGCTGCTGGCTCCAGCTTGGGCCAGCAGAGCTATGCCCTGCTCTCAGCTGTCCAGCTGGGCAGTGCACAGCTGACCCAGACCTGTCCAGGCCTGGCCGGCATGGGTGGAATCTTCACGATCAGAAACTGGGAGGGAGTATCATGTAGCTGGTAAGAATTTGGGAGACCTGAATTCAACTCTGTCTCCAGGGTGACCTGGAACAAATTATTTAGTCTCTGTGTCTTTGTTTCCTCACATGTAAAACAATGTTCACAATTCCTAAAAATGAGTGTGAATCGTTATGCCAAAATTATTATATGTATAATACCAGCCTTCCCCATGGAGCACTAATGGCAGTTGGGGGGTTTAAGGTTATATGTAACCTATACAGCACAGTTAATGTGTTACAATAGCTGTTACAATAGCTAAGGGTATTTACTATGTCTGCAATTTCCAGGCATTATTCCAATGAACTATCACAACACAGTGTCAGAGGTCCAATTTATTACCCCTGGGTCCTTAACAAGAAAACTGTACCTTAGGGACTTTAAAGATCTTACCTAGTAACCCCTATCTTACACTGGCCTCAAAATGTCATGTTTATTAATATCTCTGGTGGGAGAGGGACCTAACAGAACCTGGAGAAAGTCTAGGTGTGAACAAAGCCCCAACCATCTCTGAGGCGCAGGGCCCTGGGACCCTGTGGCCTCTTGTAGCTTGTCCTCCAGCACCACCACCCCACCCATGTTAAAGGAGATACTGAGAAACACTATCTGGCCAATGCACACCATTATAGTCAGGTTCAAATCAGATGCCAATTAGGTGCTGTGTGGACCAGCAAGCACTCAGCCAGGACACGATGCTGCAACCTTCTCTGCCCCTCCCTGGTTCAGTGGCCATCCAGGCCCCCTATGAGTATTTCTGGGGATAGGGAGCTCCTTCTGGATAAAACTCTTCCCTTTTCAGCCTGTGGCCCCACCCACTCACCCCCCCCCCCCAGCCAGGTCCCAGGACTTTGCAGCAAGGAAGAATCATGAAACACACCACCCAGCCACTGAGGACCCCAAAGGCGTGTGGCCTCCTCCCACCATTCCTCCCTGGACTCCCGGACCACAGAGGAAGACAGCAAGGCTCTTAGCTTGTGTGGCCTCCTCGCCTCTGCTCACTCATTTGCCTACTTAGAGGGTTCCTAGCTGGTGATGGTTCAGGCCAAGGGAGACAGCGTGGTAGGGTCACTGGAATCATTGCTGGCTGCTCCAACCTCATACACAGCACCCCAGCCCTTTGCAGAGTCCCATCCCATCCTGTCACCTCTAACTGGGCCTTGGGCTCTGAGGCCATATTCCCAGGAACTTAGCTGCTTGCTTTCTTTTGCCCTCTGTCTCAGCAATCCCAAGTCAGCCTGTGTCCGTACCTTAAAAGACTCCAAAAATCCTCCATGGCCCCCATTCTCAAACTTGTCCTCCTCGGGGCCCAGGCCTAGCATGACCTGAGTGTGTGTGTGGAGTTCATCATGGAGGTTGTCCAGGAGAGCAGCCCGGGTCCGGTCCTAGAAAGGAAGGGCGTATACAGCGTGCCGACACCACTGTGTGCTTCCTTCTGGGTTCCAGATGCCTGGCCTGAGGGCCATGATGGTGTCTTAGAGGAGACTGAACTTCATGCCCACTAGTGCTGCAGTTAGCACAAAGGTTCTGGGCCCGCCCCTGCTCTCCCTCTCCCTGGCCACACCACCTCTTCCAAGGCTTGCCCTGGGGATACCCAACCCAGATCCCAGACAAAGATCTATATCCACAGCCCCTCTGCCCATGGCTCTCTAACAGCCAGGGACATGCATGCAGCCTCTAGGGGGCTCCATATACACAGCCTGGACTCATCCTTTTCAGGAGGCCATAGTCCTAAGGACGCTTCTCTCCCAGTTATTCCCATCACCACAGAGCCTAAGCCTAAAGCCTGTGTCATCCTGTAATTCTACCTTTCCCACCCTCATTTCTAGGAGTGTCTTCCTGAATTTAGAGGAATGTCCAACCTTTTGACATTGTGACACAATAAGAACTGCACAGTCAGATTACTAGGAGGGAAATTCACAATGTTTTACACTTACTAGTCTATGATTTTTGTCTTGGAACACATTCATGGCTATTCTGGGGCACATGTGGCTTGCAGACAGGCCTCTGGTTGGACACCTACCAGCAGTTTAACCCAGTACCTTCTGTGAAATGCTCACCTTTGTTGAGCTTCTTAGACTCTTTAATCATTTCTAATTGGCCAGTTTGCTGTCATAATTCCCTTCCAACTCCTTCTTCTCCTCTAACACCAGCTGGCTAATGATACCTCTAACACGCAAATCAAACACTGCTTAAAAACTTCACAGCACCCATCACCTGTAAGCCCAGCCCTTCTCCATCTCATGCAACCACCATCTACAGCTTTCAGCCCCATCTTTCAGACACATGAGGATGCTATCAGGCCATGTCTCCCACCCCTAAAAGTCTGCAACTGCTTGGCCCTTAGCGGTTTCCTGTGTCTGGAATGATGTTCCAGACTCTCCTCATGTGAAAGCTTCATCAGACATCAAGATTCAGCAGCTCAAACTCAAAAGCAAGTTCCTCCAAGAAGCCTTCCCTGAACACATCCTCCATCTTCCCTAGTAGAAGCAATCATTTCCCATAGGCTCCATCACAGCCCAGAGTGTAATACAGTACACTGTATTGTTAACCATAGTTTCTCTTCAGTAAAGGCCTGTGACGCATAGCAGCAGAAGTAATGTCTCACTTATCTCTGATAACAGAACAAGTCCTGGATATAAGACATGTTCAGTAAACAAATAGTGATTGGCTGGTGAGACCTAGAGACTAGATGAGCTCTTACAAGAAAAACCAGAGTTCCCAAAGCAACACAGAGCTGAGGGCTTAGGAGAGAGCACAAAGCTCCCCAACTGCACAAGTATCATGGTGAGACCCCAGGAAGAGGCTCAGAGCAAGCCCAGAGGAGCCCTGCAGTCCGCCACTCTCACCTCCAGCTTGGCGAACTTGTCCGACTTGCAGCAAGCATTTTCTGCGTTTGTGAGCTTGGTGAGCAGAAACTCCCGGAATTCTGCACCCTGAAACAGAAAGAGGGTTCAGAATTCTCCCAGCCTCCACCACGGTAGACAAAAAAAAAAAAAAAAGCTTCCAAGCACAGTAACAGAAAGGCAGAACAAAGGGTATAGGGGTATGGTGACAGCCCCTGCAAGAGCCCTACTCATATCTGGTCATATCCAGCCAAGGCCAGCCATTCTTGCTAATACACAGCATGGAAGCCAGCTTCCCAGTACTGGAAACCCACCCTGCATATGGCACTTGGCCTGGAGCACTGTATGAGAGCCCTTCTTCTAATAAGAAGGCAACACCATCATCAAACTCCCAACAAGAGCCAGATTGGCCCCAAAGGGTGAGGTAGGGAGATATCCGGGAAGGAGATATCCCTAAAGCTATAACAAGACCTCCCTGACAATGCTCCCAGCCTACATTCAACCCCATTCCAACCACTGACACTCAGGTGGAAAGATCTGGTATCTTGAGTGTGACAAGAATGGAAGAAAGGGTTTTTTTACCTTCTGGAAAACAGGTGGGCTTGGCAGAGGAGGACCAAAGGCAGGCACATCTTCCCTTGCAGTGACTGACACCTGAATGAAACAGTCTGGCATGGGCTAAGACAGATGAGGAGTCCCACTCCTTACAGCAGACAAGCTTGCCCCTTCCCTCCTCCCCAGAACACAGATAGAATATCTGTGTGAGCATCACCCACAAGCCCCAAATGACGTTCCTCTGGTGGGCTGAATGGGATGGAAGCCTGCATCCTTCCCTCTGCCTTTCTAGGGGCCAAACACCTTGGGCTGTGGAATGGCTGAGACCCTGATTACAAGACAATGCAGGTGACCGGGAGGTTTATCTCATTACCCTACTGTAGTGTTCACCACAGAGAAGGCAACTAAGAATCACTGCCCATTTTATTGACGAGGAAAGAGATAGCCGAGGTATGCAACAAGCACACAAAAATCCAGAGAAAAGAGCGCTGGAAACCCAGACCACTCCAACACAGCTCTGAGGGTTCCCCCACTATAGTGACCCCCAAAATCACTTTGAGTGTTTAAAAGGTAAATACGGGAGCTGGGCACTGGTGGCGCACACCTTTAATCCCAGCACTCAGGAGGCAGAGGCAGGTGGATCTCTGTGAGTTCGAAGCCAGCCTGGTCTACAGAGTGAGTTCCAGGACAGCCTCCAAAGCTACACAGAAACCCTGTCTTGAAACCCCCCCCAAAAAAATTAAAGTAAATACTGGTCCAGAGAAATGGCTCCACAGGTTAAAAATAAATACCTACCACACATCCCCAGAAGAGAACTGACTCCCAAAAGTTGTCTCTGACCCAACAACTACTATAACCACAATAACAATAAATACTTTTTTTTTAAAGTAAATACTGGTTGCAAGGAGAGCTTGGGGCTCTTGGGAGCGTTGACACAGGCAGTGGACCCAGGTCTGGAGTCTGGCTCTACACAGAGAGCCAGTCAGTCTGGCTGAGGCTTGAGCACAGATATCAAAGGCATTGGCTGGGAATGAGGGTGGGGGACAGCCAGGCCACAGCCAGAAGCTTCGAGGCTGGGTTGTAAGAATGTCCAGGGGCTCTCTGCATAAAGGTGAACCCGGAACAGGCAGGCTCCGCTCTTCACCTCCTCTCTACATGCAACTATCTTAGCTTTACCTGCTGACAACCCCTGAGGCTGTGGGGCTCTGGGGAGGCTGCCCTATCCCTTCACTAGCGGTGGCCCTGGCATGCTGCCAACTGCTCTGGCCTGTGAAGTAGGGCAGATGCAATAGTCTGCCAGACTGGGTGAGCAGGCAGCCTGGGGCCCAGCCAAAACGAGGCCCTGCCAGGTTGGGGGGGGGGGGGAGCAGGGGAGCAGTGCTTCAGTCAATGGGGCATTCTTCCTACAAACCCAAGGCTGTCGGCTGTCCAAACGGAGGTACTCACAGTCAAGAATGGGTCGTATTCACTGACAAGATTTTGGCTGAGCCCCAGCTGCCAGACACAGCCGCCCCCTCCATCCACCTAACCATGCACTGGTGGCCCAAGTCTAGAATTCCATCTTGGAGCAAGAATTTGGCTGCCCACTGTGGGTATCTGGGACACTTGGGACAAAGCACAGACTCTGGTCCAGCTGTTTCCCATGGCCTGGCCCCTCCTCCTCAGGCCTGCATTCAAGTAGTCTGTGTTGACAGGGTCAATGGCTCAGGTGTGCCCTTAAGTCCACAGGTCAGCAGAGGCAGGGTCCAAGTCCTCTGTAGGAATGTACACCCTAAAATCTCTGACTCAACCTGTTTCCCTTGTATCCCAGGCTCCTCCAACCATTGGAACACGGAGACATGCTGCCATGGAGGTTAGGAAAAGGAAGGGAGGAGGAGAAGCAGTCAGTGAGGAGGGCAAGGGAGTATGTCCTGCCTCTCCAATCCCTAGGGCCAGGAGCCAGAACAATCGAGTGTGCTCTGCACACCTCCTTCCATTACAACAGGTGGCCCTTCCTACACATGCATACAGTATACACTGACTAAATCCAACTTTCTTTAACCCACCTTGCCTCCCACACCCTCCTCATCCTCTTTCCATTTTTTTAGAGGGTCTCACTATGTCGGCCAGGATAGCTTTGAACTCTCATCCCCTGTGACCTTGCTCCCACATCTGCCAGGATTTAGGGATTACAAGCACATACCACCACCAGTAGCCAGGGTGACATTTTTAGCTCTCATGGCAGGTCTTACATTCTCATCGAAACCTTCCAATTAAAACTATCCATTCTTCCACATCATCCAGATGCAGGGACCAGGGTCTATGAACACCCTCTAGCCTTTGTCTTCCCATTTTCCCTCTTTCTTTCCCTTTTCCTGGCCATCCTTTCCAGCTCCTCTTCCTCAGACTTCCTCTAGCAAACACTATCACCATTATCCAAAGCTCAGCACTTGGGGCTTCTGGACCACTCAGTGAGAAGCTGAAGAGCTAGAGGAAGGATGGAGGAGATGATAATGGAAGGTGCTTTCCACCAAGGGCCAGGCTCCAAATCTCAGAAACCGAACCAACCACGAGGACCACAATACTATTAAGACCCAGTGTCTTTCCTGGAATTCACTCTGAAAACCAGGCTGGCCTCAAACTCAGAGATCTGCCTCATCTGCCTCCTGCGTGCTGGGTTTAAAGGTGTGCGTCATCACCAGCCAGCTAAGACCTAATGTCTGTTGCTATCACTGAGCCCACCACCCCTAGGGATGTACCTGGGCCCACGACTGCCCTCCCCCATGAGGCTTTTTCCTTACCTTGTAGGATGGGGTCTCTGTGCCTGAGCTCTCAGCCTGAACAACTATGTAGGCATGTAAGAAGTTTGATGCAATCATATCTGGGACAAATGGTGTGTTTTCTTCTTGGAAGATGATGGCCACAATGTCATTCCCAATGTGTCGCTTTCTCTGCAGCTAAATAGAAAGTACCTCACTGTTACAAGACAGTTGGGACCCTCCCTAAACAGAAAAGAGCTCAACAGCAAATTCCTCTTTATTTCACCTTTCATAAACCCTGAACTCTGTCCCTCAGTGTAACTAAACTCAACAGCTTACAGAGCCTGGACTCGGGACCCTGGGGAGAATGTAAGAACGGCAGGCCAGTCATAAGTGATCCAGAAGAAACACAAACACAGGAGGAGCACCTGAACACACTAACCAAGCTGCCAGCCGAGGGTAAATCAGCTGCTCTCTGGCAAAAAGTACCCAGCAGCTTTAGGAGCAGAGAGCAGGTGGCAGCAGAGAGCCTGCATCCTGAAAATCATGGGCAGGATTGGTGAGGAAGAGGCAGGGGGCAGATCATTCCATCAGAGGTGAGGACACACTCAGAGCAATGCAGGTCAGCTTGGCTAGGGGAGAACAAGTGGCCAGGACCCAGCAGTGCCAGGCACTGTGCCATGTGATCTAGGTTACAAGCCCCTACTATGTGCCAGGAACTGTGAATGGCTGTTCACATGGAAGATTACAAATGTTAAGGTCTTCCTGTGCACCAGGTCCCGCCCATGTGTTTGATCCTTTATTAAGTGAATACTCAAAGTGGGACTTGTGCTCAGGCCTTTCAAATTGAGTTTCCCACTTACAGAGTGTCTGCTCTGAACACTGCACTGGGTGCTTTTATGCAAACTGACTCACTTGTTCACACACACACACACACACACACACACACACACACACACACACACACCGCTGGGGCCCATTTCTTAAAAGGAAAGAACTCTCATTGATTTGGTCCCTGCCAAGAGCCAAGATCTGTAGCACACAGACTAGATAGGGTAATAGGTGAGGGAGGTTGTATGAAAATGGGGACCGAAGGTGAGACACCCAGGAAAAACACACTCTGGCTACACAAGGAATCCCACACCCATGTGTTTCTGGAACATTCAGTTATCATTTGGGAGCCAAATCATAATTCTCTTGCCAATTTCTTTGATTCCCAAGAAGCCATGTCCAATGTTTATGGTTTTGTATCCCTGCTCCCTTCCCTGGGCAGAAAGAAACAGGTCAGAGTTGGGAGGAGGCTCTCCTGTGTTCTCTGAGGCAGGGAGGAGGAAAGAAGTGGGAATAGGAGATTAACATCATAGTAGCCAGAATCAGCTGCGAGAGCCAAACCCTCCCTGGGGATGTGTAGCTCAAAGCAGCTACCCTGGAGAGCTGGCAAATGCTGGAGTCACAGGTCTCACAGACTAGGGACAGGCAATGAGAGGATTCTCATAGAGACTCCACACTCACAGGGCAGCAAGGAGGTAGAAGGGCTAAGTGTCCTAAGTGCCCAGGACAGAGGACAGAGGTTCCACAAGAAGCAGGCACATGCCAGGCATGACTCATGGGAGCCCACTGTTCAGAAACCTGCAGGACCCCACAGCAGCCCTCTAACACAGATGCCATTCCACATGTTCCAGAGCCACAAGGCCACTGACTGGCCAAGAGTCTAGAGCACCCAGCTTGCTCCCCTGGCCTGAGTACCATCTGCAGATCTGCCGAGCAGCCTTTATCAGCATTGCTTGCTTTAAAGCTTGACCCTTCATTGACTTCCTGGGGGAAGCGTCTACTTTTTGTGCTGGAGATAGAGTCCAGGGCCTCCTGCGTCCTGCATCCTAGACAGAGTACCCTACAGCTGGGCTACACCCTGAGCCTCAAGGAAGGGTTTTAACAGGCCACCCCAGGCTGCATGCAGCAAGTGGAAGCGATCTGCAGCTTGGCCCTGCCTTCTACACTGGTTACCTGCTGGGTGTCACCATCCGTGAAGGGCAGCTTGGTAGAGACATGGAACATGATCTCCCGGTCCCGGAAAGTGGTGTACACCGACTCCACCCCTGTCTGTCCGTGGGTCACATCCAGGCCTCCTCGGAAGCTGCCATAAAACAGGGCAGGAGCAGAATGAGGAGTGAGGTGAAGTTGCATCATGGTGCCACTACGGACGGGTAGCAAACAAGCGGGTGAGAAGACAAGGAAGAGCTAAGGGCCAAAGAGGTATAAAGGGTGGAGACTGGTTCTTCGGAGTAGCCTAGCTGAGCATCCTACCATCAACCACCTATATGAGACACAGAGGCAGACCTGATGGCTGGCACCTGGCGGCCACGTGTTAGTAACCCTAGCACTTTGAAGGTCAAAACAGGAGGATACTGAGTTTGAAGCCAGCCTGGGCTATGGAGTGAGACTTTGTCTTACAACACAACCAAATTAACAAACTAATTAATTTAAAGCAAAGCCTCTACTTCAAGTTTTGGCTGAACAGCACCCTCCACTTGGCTGTTCAAGTGAGAAGGTCATCACCCATTCATAACCCTACACAAATGCCTGAGCTAGCTCCCCAAGGTCCCCGAGGCTGGGCATGAGCCTTTACTCTATCCAAGTCATTGGTCAAGAGCCAGGAGAATCAGTCACTCTACTGGATGTGGATGAACCCATGGGGGACTTAGAGCCTTCCAGAAGAAGGGACAGCTGATCAACTTTAAACAGTCAGCTTCTACGGAGACAAACCACATGGAGGCCCCAGCATGCACACTTGCATCACCCAGGAAGGAGAAGTTGGGGAAGAGCTGATGGCCTGTCAGGGGCCAGCCCTTCTCCCTTCACAGAGATGTGACTGCCAGCCTGGGACCACAGTCTTCAGCAACTGGGAGGGGGAAAAAACACAAACAAAAAACAAAGGAACAGATGCACCTCAGGCCCTTTCAGGTTCCAAACCTGCTTTGTCTGAATTATCAGTTTGAAACCCCTGTGACCTTGTGGGGTGCCATTATGTTCACGTTTATCTCTCTTTATTACAGATAAGAAACTGGACTCTTCTCCAGGTAAAGTCACTGATCCAACATCTTAGGGCTTGTGAGTGTCAGAGGTGGGATTTTAACCCTGGTGTGACTGTCTCCAGACTCCAGACAACAGCAGTGACTTCAAAGAGAGGAGAAGATGAGCAAAGGGGGAGGGAGGAGGGAAAGAAGTAGAGGAAGAGGGCAACTATTGAACACCTACTGCAACTGGACTAAGTGCTTTTCACAGGACATTCGGTGTTTGTTTGGGCTCCTGGACTAAATCTTAGGACTCTCAGCCAGCCACTCGGTTGGACAGGTCTGAAATATTTCCAAATGTCACCTTTTCTAAGGGAAATCAAGGGCCAGGGTTTTCCAAACACTAGTCCCAATATTCTAGCTTTCTGTCCATTTAAGGGGCTGTTGCATGGATTTCTGCCAAGGGGGTTATTATGTTCGAGTGAAGTCTTAATTATCTGTTCTTCGCACGTTGTCCAAATTGGGTCATTTCCTTCCAAACATCACAGGGTTCTCTCTCTCCTGCCAGGTGAGCCGTAGGGAAGGTGGATGCCTTTCACTGTCAGTTTGAGCCAAACGTAATTAGGAAGGCAAACCTCAGCAGGAGCGATCTCATCAAGCTTCCAAGGCCACTGCCTTCCAGCCAACCTGTCACTCTGGATTATCCCTAGGACCACTGAGTCTTCAGGAATGCAGCTATGTGAGCAAAGAATCAGAAGCTAGAAAAGTCTCCATGCTCTCCCAGAGCTGTCTGCCTGGGCCCTCACCAAGGGCCCCACCCATGGATATAGCCAGCCCCTGACCAAACTCACCCTTTGAAGTCCTGCAGTGTGATGGTGTCGCCCAGGAGACTCAAAAACTCCTTGAAAGCTGGGCTCTCCTCATTGTTCCCAAAGAGCTCTTCCTCCAGTGTCTAGAAGAAACACAGTGGCCAGGGAGGGGATGAGAAGAAACCTCTGGGTGTGAAGCGAAAGGGATGTCCAGATGCCGGGTCCCTTTCTCATCTCTTCCCTGCTGTCCAGCATATGTGCTATAGCTGTCCTCAGCTAGAGGACACGCTAATGGAGGCACACTCTGCAGGGCTGGGTTCTGGCCCTGGGTAAGGGGGCCTTGAAGTCCAGCAGAGCTCAGAGAAAACGGCCTTAGGCTTGACACCAAAAGTGTGACTCAAAGTAAAGGATAGGTCGCTGGTTTCCAAAGCGACTCTCAAAGAACTTTCAAAACTCTAATATGGGGCTCAGCCAGACAGTACAGTACACTCCTTTAATCCTTGTACTCGGAAGGCAGAGGCAGGCAGAGTTCCATGAATTCAAGGTCAGGGTGGGTCTACAAAGCAAATTCTAAGATAGCGAGACCCTGTCCCATAACAAAAACTCTACAGTAACCAAAACCACAGTAAGACCCTCACTTGACAACCACACCAGTAGGATGGATGTGATGATGAATGACAAGAAAAAACGGGGACAAGGTTACGGAGACTTCTGAACACTTGATCGATGTTGACAGGAATGTGAACAGGGTAGATACTCTGACAACAGTCTGTCAGTCCCTCAGAAGGCTAACCACTGGGCAGTTCCATCCCTAGGTATATACCCAAGAGACATCAAAATGCATGGACACACATACACACAAATAACTTGTATATGAGTGTCAACAGCAGCACTGTATCTAACCCACAAGTGGAAACCACCCAGATTATCTGCCCACCAACCAACAGGTTGCTTTTATGTGGTATAGCCATTCAATGGGACATTACTTGACCTAAATAAGGAATAAATACACGTTACAACATAGATGAACCCTGAAAACATTTATCTAAGTGAAAGAAACCAGTGAAAAAAATGTTACATATATCCTTCCACTTCTCAAAGATCCAGAACAGACAAATCCATAGAACTGGAAGGCAGACTACTTTGACACAGATTCTCTCTATGTAGTTGGCCTTGAATTTGCTATCTTCCAGAGGCTAAATGGAGTGGGCCACAGGGGTGACCGACCATAGGTGTAGGTTTTATTTGGAGAGTGATGAGCATATTTTGGAATTAGATCATTATTGCTATGCCACTGAGATCACACCTCAAACCAACTGTGAAGCTGTAATCCTTACTATTGTGAATTGCACAGTGTGAGAACTATAGATTAGGAAAGCTGTGATAAAAATGTAACAGTAAGAAAAATTAGGAAATGCTCAAAAGACATAACATTCAACCTAAGTGGACACACAGATGGCTTGTAAGCACACGACAAAAAATGTCCAGCATCGTTACCAGCAGGGAAATGCAAACTAGAGCCACGATGAGGTACACCATGCATGTGTCAGAAGGGCTAAATTAGAAGTCAGCAGCACCAAATCTGGCTCAGATGCAGGAAAGCTGCACACTCTGATGGGGAAAAAATTGCTCCAGAAAATGGTCTGGTGGCTGCACATGCTGGTCATAAGGCCAGCAATCATACTTCTAGGCAATTATCCCAGAGAAATGAAAGTATAGGTTCAAAAACCCAAATCCTACATAAAAGTCTTCACAGTAGTTCTGATCATAATTCTTCAGTGCTGGAAACAACTATGATGTCTTAGTGAATTGTTGGTTAAGCACAAGCATGTACAGCCAGTCCATGGAATACTACTCAGCAATAAAAACAGAGCCTAAGCTGGGTAACATGGTGACAGAAGCCATGGGGACATGCCTGTTATCCCAGTACTCAGGGAGTTACCAAATTCAAGGCCAGCCTGTGCTACATGGTGAGAATCTATCTCAGAATAATGAAAGGATAGAGGAAAAGAAGGAGGGAAACAGAAAAGGGGGAAGGAGGCAGGGAGAGAGGAAGAAACAGAAGAAAAACAAACAAACTAGTGACATACTTGAGAAGTTGGAGAATCTGCTGAGGAGAGCAGCCCTGGAGGTTTTTAACTAAAAGGTTACTAACTCATAAAGATATGATATGCCCTATCAGTGTGGTTCTATCACAGTGTGAAACAAAGATGGGGAACGGATAAACGGTTACCAACGGTTAGGAACTAGAGGGGAGAACAGAGGCGGGGGAAACAGGTGTAGCTAGAAAAAAGGAAAATGTAGGGATCCTTGTAGTGAGAATCTGTTTCTTCACTATGGAACCAACACAGGGATAAAACAACTTAGAACAACATACACACATACAACATCTATGACACACATATCATGTAGATAGATAGATAGATAGAAGATAGATAGATAGATAGATAGATAGATAGATAGATAGATAGATAGACAGACAGACAGGCAGGCAGGCAGGCAGGCAGGCAGGCAGGCAGGCAGGCAGGCAGGCAGCTAGACTTAAGTTTTAAAACCCTTTTAGGGAAATAGTAGTTAATACAGATCCTGACTGAGATCCATGAGTGGGTAAATACTGCTACTCAACCAGAGACAGCTAATGCTAGCCTGGGGGGTCAAGACTAGACTGCTTTCTGTTTTCATAAAGTTTTATTAGAACACAGCCAGCCCAACTCATTTACATATATGTCTGGGGCTGCTTCTGTCTGCAGAGGGGAGTGGTTGTGACAGTCCCCAAGGCTCAGAAGTCTAAAGAGTCTATTACCCTGCAGTTATGAGTGTACTGACCCTGATCTTCAGCATGCCAAAAGGACCTTGCTTCCAGGCAAGCTACATCTCTTACAGCAAACAACCTAGTGTGCCTTCTGGGGCTGGCACCACTCCCCCAGGATTCACACTCAGCATGATTATTATCAATGTCCTTGTTTTTATACAGCCCTTGAGCTTGACCATACACTCAGGGAGGAGGTCTTAGTCATCGCTATGTCACCCCACCGTGCTTTGCACAGTACATGACAAACAGGGCAGTTAGGTGAGGCTTATTTTTATCAAACCACCAGTTTAGAGCTTTTATGCAACAAATGTTCATATTAAATGTCCCCAGCTGTAGGTTTGCTGAGTAACAATCTGCCCAGCATTTTTTAAAAGTATTTTATCTTCCCGGCTTCTCCCCTGCAGTAGCAGCAGCACTGGGTACATAAACAATACACGGGCGCTTTCTCAGAGGTAGATGGTTAATATTCAATAATTGCAACTTTGCTGGAACATTGGATTGTAATCACCGCGTAAGAAATGTTTTGGTAAAATTCACAAGCAAAGAACTTTAATTACGGGGGTGGCAGTAACCAACATGTGTGAAATAAAGTTGTTAATATGTGAAAGTCATGACAGTGGCAGCCAGAATCATCTCCCTTGAATTATGAGATGCATCCATGCTGGCCTTCCAGCTCTTAAACACGTCACCCAATTAGTGCTTTGAAGCACACCTGTGTCTTCTGTGGTCTAACGTCTTCAGACAAATAAACCAGCTATTCAAGAAAGCTAACCAACAAAGAAATCAACTAAAGAACAAAGAGATGGCCATGCAAAAAACCCACAGGACATCAATGACCTGCTATTAGCAGGGCCTCATTTTCCATTCATTCAATAATCACATACCAATTGACTCTTATACACACATAAATTCACAAAGTGTGTGTGTGTGCATTTGTGTGTGTGTGTGTGTATGTGTCTGTGTGTCTGTGTGTGTCTGTGTCTGTCTGTTCAACACCATGCTAGGCACTTGGATACAAAGGAGAAATGAACATGGAATCTTCTCACAGAACCTGGATGAGGAGACACAGGTGCCTTTAGCTGACCATTCTGCTCGGGACATTAGTAATGTTCACTGCAGAAGACAGGATTTCTATTCCCAGTGAGGGAATAGAAGCTGCTCTTTTCTAGTTTCCATAGTGTAAATATTTCCAGCAAGGCTGAATTCAACCTACCAACATGACATCACTGGGTTCCAACACCCCACTGAGTGAGGAGAAAAGGCTAATTGCCCCCTGGGAGAAGAGTGGCTTATGCTAACCCATTCCCTCTCTCTTGTTTGAGTTTTCCTGTGATTCATTGCCCACAGAAAACATAAGCTGAAAGAGCAAGGAAGAATTAGACATTACGGTGGAAGAACTACACCACCATCTACAAGATTTGCAGGCCTTTTTGTAAAGTTGCCTTCCTCAGCTACCTCCAATCCAATTTATGCTTTAAATTTGGCAACTGTATTCAGAATATTTAATAACCACAGAGATACTTACACATCCATGTCTGTGAACACACTATTTGCAATAGCCAGGAAATGAAACCAACCTACATGTCTTATCAAAAGATGGATAGGCGATGGGATTTTATGCAGCCATGAAAAAAACTGAAATTATGACATTTGCAGGAAAATGGATAGATACCACTGAAAATCATTGTGTTAAGTAAAATAAGCAAGATTCAGAAAGATAAATACTACATATATATCCCCTGAACTTAAAAATTTATGATTTTCTGCCAGGCATGGTGGTGCACACCTTTAATTCCAGCACTAAGGAAGGAGAGTCAAGCAGATCGCTTGTGTTCAATGCCAGCCTGGTCTATACAATAAGTTCTAGGCCAGTCAAGGCTACATAGTAAAACCCTGTCTCAAAACTAAAAATAAATAAATAAATAAATAAATAAATAAATAAATAAAGTATGTGTATGTGTGTGCTCACTTGTATGCGTGTGTGTCTGTGGTCATGAAAGATAAAGCAATCTTAATGAAAGCAGGAAACAGTGAGCAATTGAGGATGTGTAACAAGAGAGCTGACTGGGAGGTAAAAGGGAACCAGCTCAATTCAAGGAGAGCAACGGGATAGAAAAGCAGGGGAACAAAGTATAACGACACAGAGATGAAGATACCAGGATTAGTTCATTATGCTAAGCTAAAATAATAGATACATAAAGTGTTCTTGTTGAAAAGTAAGAGAATGGCTGGAGAGATAAGTCAGTGGTTAAGAACACTTGCCAGTCTTGCAGAGGACCTGAATTTAGTTCCCAGCACCCACATGAAATGGTTCACATCTATCTGCCTATTACTCCAGTTCCTGGGACTCCAACTCCCTCTTCTGGACCATGGGCACCTGCACTCACATGTGTACACACCCACACAAAACACATACATATACACTCAATTGAAAATAAGGCTTATCTTAAAAAAAAAAAAAAAAAAAAGAGCCTAGCTCGGGACCCCTGCGCTTTGGGTGGGTAAATACAGCAAAGTCATAAGCAAGAGACTGTGGTGACCAATGTGAACCTTGGTGCTTACCTGCCTGGCTTTTTGGTAAATGACCCCAAACTTGAAAGTGTTGTTGACATCATGCTCATCATAGGACACAATCATCTGAGAAGCCTAAAAATTGTGAAAAAGAAAAAAAAAAAACATCAAGATTGATGCTAACAGGAAGCAAGGGGGGGGGGGGGGAAAAGCAGAAGGCATAACCATTTCATCAGAGAGTGGGCCCAGAGAAGAGACAGCCACACACACAGAGGAGGAGAAGCAAAGAACTGGCCAGTGTCAGAATACTGCTCTAAGGCCCTCTCTAACTCCCAGCACCTGGGGTATCCCAGTGGCAGCCAAACCTCCCATTCTGACCCACCCAGACATGCCAGACACATCTGGAACATAAGGAAGGAAGAAAGGAAGGAAGGAAGGAAGGAAGGAAGGAAGGAAGGAAGGAAGGAAGGAAGGAAGGAAGGAAGCCAATCCCTTCCCCCAGCAAATAGCTAGCACAGATGGCTCTGCTCTAATTCAAATTCTTTTCAGAAATCTAAGTTTGAGTAAGTCACTTCTCCTACCCAGACGTCAACCCATAAAATGAACTCTCTCTAGAAAGATGTACAAAGGGAAAGAAACAGAAAACACCTGGCCACAGGCTCTAGCTATACCCCCATCTTGCCTCACAGAATTGGTATGTGAGATCAGAAACACTTGGGTCTGATTTGGAATCCAGTGCTTTGAGCCATGTGGTGGTGTTGTGTGACCAGTCAGCCTCCCTATACTTCAGCTCCCTCCTCCGTCAAAGGCAGAAGTGGAATTCCAGAGATCCAACAAGACAAAGAACGGACAGTGGTGAGCACAAAGCAGCTCTAGCTGTCATCATCATCCATGGAACCCTCCAGAAATATCAGAACTGGGCCAGTTTATGAGAAAGAGAAGGCTGCCTGAGTGCTATTGGGAACCCTCTACAACACGAAAGAGAGATTGGCCATGTGCCATGCTACAGGAAGAAACCTAGCTTGACTTGGCTGAAATATGTGGCCAATGACAGGCTGCCATTACACTTTACCTCTGCGAAGGCCTCGGGTGTCTGAGGAAAGGGGTGCTCCTTGGTTCTCCCAGTGAGAACCCTGCTAGCCACCCTACAGGCTGCCCTCCATGGCTGCCTGGGTGAGTGAAAGGTGAGAACAGCTGCCCTGCAGGGGAAAGGCGGGCCATGGAGACCTTCCACGGAACATGTAACTCTGCACATGTGGAAATACACACGTCTCAGCTGGTTATCAGACGGCCTTCATACAGACTGCATGAAGTATAGCTGCTCTTCCGTGATCAAGAGGCCCCTCAGGCTTCCCAAGGCAGACTTATGAATGAGCATCCTGGAGCCTCCTGATGGGTATGATTGTGACAAGAACTGTCACACCTGAATTCAGCTAGGCCTTTCTGATGGGGTTGGGCTGGCTATAGGACCCCACTCTTTCCGCTTTGATTACAAAGGTAGGTCAGCCTGAATGACAGAAAACATTCTCTGGATGCAGCATATTGCTGGTGTCTCCAGATGACAAAATGACTGCAAAGAGGCATCTGACAGAAGCAAGCAGCTCATGGTCCTATAGATGCACATAGCTTCTAAGAGTGCTGAGCCCAGTCACAGCCATTTACGATGTGGTCAGGGGTGTTCTGGGTGTCGGAGCAGGGTGAAAGTCTGGCTTCCCAGCCAGAAATTTCATCTCATGGTTCCTGGTTGTCAGGACTGAGACTTGGGGGATGGGCAGCGCTGACCCAGCAAGCTTCGGCTACAAATGCATTGGCCACAGCAGAAGCCATAGGGGAAGTACATCTCTGCTTCCATTTCCTCCCCGAGCCTCTGCTGGCTTATGAAGCAGCAGTCAGTACACAAGATCTTTTCCTATGGGCAATTTCAAGCAATTCTCCACTGTGGGTGATTTAAGCACTGCCATGCTGTAATTGCTGTTGACTGCATTTGTTGGTTTGTTTTGCTATTATTGCTTCTCCCCACGCACATCCCTATACCAGAACTGGGGTCAATATCAGGCCAGTCTTAACAGAGCCAATATCAGAGAATCACCACTTTATTAACTAAGGCCAGCAAGGCTTAGAGGACCTCAGGGTTGCAGTAACGTGGGCAACAGGAAACCAAGTTTCGGCCTCTTACTTTCTAGTGCACTTCTGAGTTCTGCACTCCATACCTTCATGATGTCAGGGTGGATCTGACTGGCTTCCCAGGTATAAAGAGAATCTGCACAACCCCAAACCTGGTCTCAGAGAAGTACAGCTAGGGAGAAGTAGGAACACTTCAAAGCTACCCTCCCCCACCAACCTTCAAGCAGGCCAGGGACCTACTCAGCTGAGCTGGAAGCCACAGCATGACTGAGGATGGGTCCCAGGGTAGCAGTTCGTGGAGGGATAAATAAGAAAAGATATAGAAGATCATCATAGAGACCCTACATGACTCCTCCATGACTCAAAGAACTCCCCCATAGAGACCCAGTTGCCAAGCTGAAGGGTTATGGACAACAGGCCCCACAGGGACACAAAGGTCCTCACCTTGGGATACAGGACAGGATTGAATTTCAGCCCCACTGCATCATCACAGAAAGCCTGGGCAAGGAAAGAAACGCAAAGTCAAGAACCATGTCTATCTGTAAAGTACACTCGGCTCCTCTACCCACAGATAGAAAGCATCGTGGAGGCACAAGGAACACAGGGTTCAAATTCTGCCATTCACTAATGTGGACTCAGGACAGTCTGGGGTCCTGAGGTTTCGTGATAAAGTAAAGGGGGGGGGGGCAAAAAGAAATGAAGTCTAGAAAACATTTCCATCCTGACTGGAAGACAATACCAGAAAGCCATCACTCCCCAACTCCCACAAAAGACACAATTTTGCTGGCATTCCTGTATTCGGAGTGAATATGTCTACATATTCAGAGTTCCACTTGGCCCGGCCAGCCTCCCTTCTGACTCCATTGTGCTGACTCCATTCCCAAGTATCCAGTCACTCCTGCAGTGACATGAGCCCCCTGACCATCCCTTCTTCGGGGTGGGCTGGATCTGGATCACCCTCAGCCCAGCCCCCACCCCTCAGTGGAAGCTCCCTTGCCTACCAACACCCTCCTCTGAAGCACTAGCCGTAGTCAGCCCTGCCTTCCTACTTCTCCTGTCTCCTGAGTGGAGTAGACTATTCCACAAGCAGCTTTGGGTGCAAGGATGAGTTGGAGGGAGGGAGGGAAAATGGAGGAGGCAGCTGCTAAACCACCTCACTCCTAGGCAAAGAGCAAAATCGCCTCCCAGTTCCCAAGGCAAAGCCTGCATCCCCACCCCAGAGCCAGCCCTGGGCTGACAGAAAAGGCCACCTTCCATTGATTTTTGTTTTTTTACCTTGGCAATCTGAGGGACACTGGGCAACTTGCTCAATCCAGCCAAGGGGATCCGCTCATGCACTGTCTTCACTTTGGACCTGGATACAGATAAGGGTGAGATGAGGGCACCCATGAAAGACAGTCATTGGCTAAAGCGGCTGAGGTCACACCAGGTGGGGTCCTTGGTTTGCTTCCATCGGCCTGGAAATAGAGCTATCTATCTCCCCACACTAAGGGAGAGAAAATGGACTCCTTCCTGTGTCCCCCAAGGATGGTAGATACTTAAAGATCACACCTAGAAAAATAGCTAATGCAAACAGCCACTTTCAAGGCCACCATTTGGGGGGAGGCGTTGTTTTGGTTTTTTCTCAGAGAACTGGGCCCAGCTTATGGATATATTTAGATTTCGACATGCAAATGAACCTTTATGAAAGATAATCTAATATTTGAAAATCTGGATTTACTCAAAATATAAATGAGATGGAATCTGCTTGGGAAAGGGATTCAACATAAGACTCTAAATTTAGCCTGTTCCCTGATTCATTTAACACATTATCAAAGCGCTGAGTTTCACGGAACACTTTGCATGTCTGCTTAGATCATCATAGGATTTTTAATCCGCTAACCTTGTGGGTTGTAACTCTTTTTAAAGTCATCTTTTCATTGCATGGGTGAACCTCCAAGTGTTTGTGATGTAGGATTTTTAGTATTTTGCTGAATTTAACTGATTGTTTGTTTAGATCATCACATCTATGCTCCATAACAATGCTGGCCTTTTTTTTTTTTTTTTCCTTCATGTACCTCCCTTGCCAAATTTCCATAACAGGGTAAGTATTATTCCAACCAAGCAAAATCACAGGATACTTCCTTTCTTCTGAAATGATGTGTGTGATACAGGTATTTTTTTTTTTTTTTTCCTTTTTTGGTTCACTAAAGGTTTGCTATAGTACATGTGTGACAACTATCCTTTATAAGAGACTCCCCCTTACAGTTCCTTAGTTTTCTACTTATATGTTCATTTGAATAATTAAATTTTCTATTTGAATAATTAAAAGTTTTCCACCCAAGCACCCATGACATTCGTCGCTATGAAGCTGTTTTTCTGGCCCCGGGCTTCATCATTAGCAGCGCCTCCCTACGGTGTACAATAACCTTGGCCCGTCCATAGGCCAGTTTTCTACCTCACTCTGCAGTACTGAGGCTGGACCCAGGCTCTCGTGTGGGTTAAGCAAGCACTCTCCCAGCTCAGCTGCACCCCACAGCCTGCCTGCATCCTTCCTGCACTCTGTTCTCAGCTGAGGTTTTCCTGCCATAGCTCTGTCACCTTTTCATATATGTTTCTACTCCCCTTGCTTGTCCTCGTTTTCTTCATCTCCTTCTTTCTCTTTTCAGCCACACACCCAGCCACACCTCCCCTCCCCCCCCCCCAGCTTATCAGCCTGTAAGCTTATTCATTTATGCTGTCTTCTTTTTCCGAGACACATCTGCATCTATGCATCTGTGTGTAAGTGCCACTTTAACTGCATCCCACACACTTTGATAGGTAGTGTTTTTATTGCCATATTGTTCCAAATATTTTGTCAGTCCTTTTGTGATTTCCTTTTCTACCCACGAGTTATTTAAAGGGGCTCTGGGGGGGCAGAAAAAAAAACTTTCCATATACAAGATTATTTTCCCCCTCGAGTATTTTATTGTTGGTTTATAAATTAATTGTCATATTCAGGGAGCATAGTTTATATGGTATTATTTTAAATTTCCTAACAATACATAGACCTTTTATTCCCCTTTTCACAATCCATGGGGACTCTAAAAGGTTGTGTGTTTTATTTTATTGAGAATAAGAATATAGGACTAAATCTGTTCACTGTACTGTTCAAATATTTTATAGGCCTCACACAATTTTATTCTGTGCTAGCCATTATTTTCTGAGAGTTTTTTTTTTTTTTTTTTTTTTTTTTTGTTATTTTTGTTGTTTTCAATCAGAATCTCTACTCCTCTGTAAAACCTCACCAGTTCTTGCTTTGAGGTGTTTGTTGTTGTTTTGTTTCCTTGCAGGGGTCTGAACCTATGGCTTTGCACATGCTAGGTAAGGGCTCCCCATGAAGCTGCATTCACAGCTCCAGTTATTGCTTTTAAATCCAAGACTACCCTACATGTGTCCATCCATGGCCGTGTCCTCAGTGGCCTGTCCTCTTTACCTTTTTTTTTTTTTTTTTATGTTTTGTGTGTGGATATTCAGCCTGTCTGTATATCTGTGTATCACATGCATGCCTGATGTCCAAAGAGCCCAGAAGAGGGTGTCAGATCCCCTTGAACTCCAATAATAAACTGTTGTGAGCTGCCATGTGGGTGCTGGGAATTGATCCCCCATCCTCATAAACGCAAAGTCATCTCTCCAGCCTCCTGCCCTCTTTACTAGGAGGTAGGCTAAGGCCTACGAGGGAACCCATCAAATAGCATGTTTGTTTATCATGAAGAAACTCAAAGCAAAGTAACAAGGAAAAGTAAGGCATTGAGGAGCTGAAATCATCCCTTTGTTACCAACAAAGACCAAGTGAGAACACACAGCTCCATGTGACCATAAAACACATCTAGTAGACAAACTTCAGAAATCACCTACATCTCAGGTACCGTGAGGCAGGGGAAGAGCCCTGCCCAGGAGAAAACTCTAAGAGGAAAGGGGAGAAGGTACAGAGCTACACATCAAGTTCTTGCTCCGGAACACAGTTATCAGTAACAGGGAAGAGAACCAGGGATGCTCTGAAGCAGTGTTCCATCCACACAGTGGAAAACGTTGGGAAGGAACACTCCCAGGTGACAAAGGCGTGAGATTCTACACTATATTTTTTTGATATTGTTATGCCAGCTTTCCTAGTTAATATTTCCCTGGTGTGTCTTTATCCCTTCCTTTCCATGACATGTTATTTTCTTAATAATGTCTCCTATAGAAAAATGAGGTTGCACTCTTAACCAACTCTGATTTTCTAATATTTCAGTAGATCACTTAATCTATTGTATTTATTGAAACCACTAACATGTTTGGAATCACTTCGAGTCTGTCATTTTATATTTTCTGTGGGTTATTTTCTTTTTTTTTCCTCTCCCTCATTCCACCGAATGAAGTTCTGAGTGTTTGTGGCTTTGTCTGCTTGGTTTGTTTTAATATGCTATCCTTCCGTTTCCGGAATCTCCCAATATGCATGTTTACAGTTTTCCCAGCAACCTCTGCAACGCTGAGAATCCACTGGCTTCTGCCCTCCTGTCAAACTTGTTATTATTGTCATAAATAAATACAAATTCAACCTTCCTTTCAAACGTGCCAAAATTACTTCTTTTTCTCAGTCAGTATTTAAACTTTCCAATGCTATTTAGCTATTTCTTGTTACTTTTTAAATTGCATCTCTTCTGCTGGGTTCTCTTTTCTCCTGGCTAAAATGCATCCTTCAGTGACTCTTACAGGAACACTCTGAGAGGCACATTGCTCTAATTTTTTTTTTTTTTTTTTAATGTTTGAAAACAGTTTAATCTTGTCTCTAGTGGTAGCTTCTCTGGCTAGAGAACAGTCCTTCTTGTTCACTTTTATAACACTTTAAAGATAATATTCCAGTGTCCAACAACTATTTTTGACCAAAGGGGAATCCACTCCCCTTCTAGCTATCTTTAGTCTCAGATGGCATTACCTTAGGTTTTGATTTCTGTTGTTTTACCTAAATGTGTCTGCCCGTGCTTTTGTTTTGAAATCAGGATCCACAGTAGGTCTGTGAGCTTTCTCCTACTCCCACATACTCTCAGTTCTTACTTCTGGGTAATTATTCCCTAGTGTGCCTAGGCATTCCTCAAGAACGCCTGAGAAAAATGCAGAGGCCTCCTGGTCTGCTGTCCACATATCTTATCTTCCTTTTCTTACATGAGTAAGAAACTGCGCTATGTTCTGAATAGAATTCCTTGGAACTATCTCCCAGTTCTCTTGGAAAAGACTAGATTTTATCCTGTGTGTTGTTTGTGTCAACAACTAATTTTCATTCTAATAATTCTAATTGTTCTCTTTATATTCCTCCATGCTCCTGAATCAATTCTCTGACCAGCGATTTATGGACCATTTGAGAGATGCTCTCCAATCTTCATCTTTCTTTAGGTCTTTATAAACGTGTTTAAGTCATTCTGAAAGCCCACCATTATTTCCATTTCAGCGGCAGCAAATCCCTCTCCCATTTGTTGACATTCTAGCAGTCTCTCGATGTCAGTTTCCCCCATGGCTTTGGAGCTTTCCACCTCCTTTTCTCTGTTCTCAGAATAGCCATCTTGGTTTAGTTCCCATCATGGCTGCCAGTCCTTACAGTCTGGGGAAGCCAGTGGCATTATACAGTCAGTTAGCCTGGATCATGGCCTTTGCTCACCTGGTTCAGCTCAGCTCAGTGTCCTCCTCACCCACCTTCCTACTGTGGCTTTGCCTTTGCTACAAAATGCTCTCCTCATTCTAGCCAGTCCATTCATTCTACATACCTGATCATGACATACTCCTTTCTGTAGCACCCCTATTACTCTGGAGATATGGGGGGGGGATCCAAACTTTCAAACATTATGCTTGGTCTAGCTTTCCTCTAGCTCTCTAGAACAATCTTTTGACCCTACATACCCACTCAGACACACATCTCACCAGCTTTGAGCCATTATCGGTAGTTAGCTTTTGCACTACCCTGAGCAAGCAGCCTATGAAGATCCATGTCCACAGGCTGGAGACAAGGCGGGCTGAGACAAAGGAGAACACTGAGAGCAGACCCTGAAAGCACAGCTCAGTGGTAGAGCGCTTGTCCAGCGTGTGCAGCCATGGGGTTAACCCCAGCACCCTGGCACATATTAAGTGCCAATTAAACACTGAATGAATAATGCATTTCTCACAATAACTATTCTTTACTTTGATAAATAATTACTTATTGACTATCATAAGTACGCTTCATATTCTACATGGATTTGAGTTTCTCTGGCTGGTTCTTTGGTGAAAACATTCTTCTGTGTTTATATGTACTAGACCCTATTTTTTCTCTTTCTTTTTTATGAATTGGTATTTCATTTGTCTGGTTTCCCCCCCCTAAAGAAT